GCGCCTCGCCGGGCGGGTGGCTGCACGTCCGCGGCGCAGCGGCGGCGGGAGTGGGAGGCCGCGCGTGTGCTGACATCACGCGCAGGCAGGGCTCAGCCTCCACCGCCGGCCCCGCTGCTCCCAAGCGAGCGCGCAGCCAATCGCCGGCCCCGCGAACGCGAGGTGGCCTTTGAACTCCCCACCAGCAACTTCCTGCTGTTTTTAGAGTACACACAGTGCAATGCAGTATGTCTGTCAGCTATGCGGCACAAAGGAACAGCCATTTTGTGACTGCACTGGACCCGCACCAAAATGCCAGGCGCTGCGGCGCTTTTTCCCTTCCTTTCGCCGGGAATAGCTGCTTTCTGAGCACCGCCAACAGCAAAAGGAGATGCCCTCTGCTTTCATCAGCAGCCAGAGATGGCAGGTTTTGTTTTAATGCCCTGGTTTCGTCCCTGCACACATGCACAAAATCCTCTTTCGCGTGTAACTACATCTCCATAAAATGGCTGCCGCATAAATCGAGCGTGCTCTGCTCTGCAACGGCTGCAGCACTTGCTGCGGAGCCACCTGGCAGGCTACGGCGGCTGCCCAGAGAAAAAACACCGTTTCAGACCTTACACCTCCAGCTCCCTCAACAGAAAACCACCCAAAATCTGCTTCATCAGCACCATTTCCCCCAAATGCTGTTTTAGGGCTGCAGAGGATATAAACGCAGTGTTTTGCTCAGCTCTGCACCGTCCACAACAGATTTGGAGTTGTAGGAGAGCAACTGCAACAAATGACCCTCAATGGATCCCAGTAGAAACTGCATCAACGTATCTACCTCACGTTACTTATTATCCTGTACAAAAGTTCTACCTCCAGGCTTATAAAAGTGCTATCTTCACCTGTGTTTCAAGTACTTCTCAAGTTCACAAGAAGGTTGCACTAAGAACATATTAAGTGCTCTTTGCATCATCTGCCTTTTAAAAATGCGACAGAGAAGATGCTAGAAAATGCACACAGATTTTGTTCCATTCCTTAATGCAAGTCCCAGACACACAGGCGGTTATTTATTAGTAATTGCAACATCCCAACTTTTATCCTAGGTGGTGATACAAAATCAGCAGGTTTTCAGTTTGTGAAGATTTCCTGCTAGGGGTACCACCAACATAGCAAAGGACAGGTGTTGCTGTTCATCTGAAAAGGCCACAAGAAAATATAAGCCTCTAAACTTACTGTAAGGAGTTCACATCGTTTTTCTCCCCCAAGAATAAAGTCTGTTTCAAGACAATTCTCAAAGGTGTTTTTGTTTATTCAGGTTTTTTTTTCTTTCTTTCTTAGGTCTGAAAACGTAAAAGTCACAATTCCAAACATATTCCTCAGTCAGTATACGTATGTACTATACAGAAATGGCATTTCTTCAGCTGTAGCACATTTTCAGTCCTGTATTTTTTGCTTCTCCAGCTCCAATAAACGGCACCACTAGTGTGTACCTTATCCACCCATTTCCATCACTCAAGCCTCCAATCAAAGATTATGTAATGTGACTTCATATATTTACATGTATTTTGAGCTAGTCTCACATCCGTGGAGAAAACTGGCCAGAAGCACGTTACGCACAGATATCAATGCATTTCAGGGCTACAGTAAAGCAAACTGGTGGCTTTACTTCCTAGAAATCATTTCCCCTACAACTTAAAAGTCAACCTCAGGAAGTAAAGCACATTTTACGACATTCAGCTGACTCACAACTCCGAAATAAGCTCGACAGGGCTCTCTTATAAATATCCTGTGTTCAATTGTTCCCACACTTCAGGTGAGTGGATGTTACCCGCAGCAAGTTTATTTTGAGAAAAAATTGTAAAGAGAGGGGAAAAAAGGTTAACACTTCACCTCACACAACAGGTGTTACACATAAATTGATCAATTATGCTAAACTCAAACCTTTCAATGAAAATAGCAAAATTACAGATGTGAGACAATGCAAATACGATACCCCTAGGACAGAAAAATCAAAGGTCTTCTCCGTAGCAAAGCTGCTAGATGTCTCCAAATCCATCTTATATTTAGCACGTTTCTAACATCAATAAACTGCCTTAATTCAGATTCCCTTAACAAATTGCACCTATTGTTGCTTTTTGCTGACAATCCACATTTTAAAGAAGCATTTCCAACATTTTAATGTTGGGGGAAAAAAAAAAAAAAGGTTTTGACTTCTAGCAAGGTTTAAAAATTTGATGCATTTCTTAACTGCATTATTATACAAGCTCTGTGTAGGTGCTGTATACAATGTTTCAACAGTCCCTAGAGCTAATTTAGTTAATAAACACTTCACATTTTAAACAAACTTACCCACATCCATTTTAAGATTTTAAATTTGACTGTAGTTTTAATGCATCCAGAATATCATACAAGTTCATTTCAGAAGGTTCCATTGATTTGATAATCTATATATTCCCACAGTATTTAAAGTTTGTGTTCTTAAGAAAGGTTAAATATTGGTGGACATCAAGAATACTATTCAAACACCTGCAAACCTCACATAGTGCACATCTGATACAGACAGTGTAGAATTATTTTTATTCAAATTACTTAGAAATAACTGAAGAAAACACCAGAGAAAAAATAAACAGGCTATGATTTAATTAAAATGAACAAAATGCAAAACTTGGTATGTTTACAAACTATAGAATAATAATGCATGTACTTTAGATTTCTAATTTTCGAATAAATCAACCCATTAAATACAAAACAAGCATTTCAGTAATTATACTTCTCTTTTCTTAACAAATGTAAACATTTTCAGTATTTCATACTTTTCCCATATCAAGGTTAAGTTTATAAAAATCTGTAAAGAATCTCATGACTTGACAAAAGTAAATAAAAACATTCTGAGCAAAAATATATTAAACAAGCAGACAAAGCATTTCAAGCCTCTTGTTAATAATCCCAGGTTATATTTTATAATATGAAATACTATCACCAGCAGGGGAAAGTCAGGTTAAATTGTATCAAAATATTCTAAAATACCAAAACAGTATCAAAGTTCTACAAGCTCAAATAAAATTTGAAGTATGGGGTATCAGACAGACAGGCACTTTCCAGTTTATATTTTAAAATGAGCTTTTTTTCATTCATGTAACTTTTTCTTGTGCCTATTTACTATAATTTACTACTACACCAGGCTTCTGTATGGCCCTCAGTTAAAGTTTAGACTTCTGAGATTCTTCAAAGAAAAATTTGCCTTGTATGTAAAATGGTGCAATGCAGCAACGGCTAAACCGACAAGGTCATTTTTCACAACACAAAAAACCTAAAAACTGAAATTCAAAAGCTGGAAAAACATAATACAGAGAAAAGGGCTCCCTTGAATAAAGGTACATTACCTTTTGACTATGACATGGGCCCTTAAGTCACAACACAACTTTCAGAAATTGCTACCAAAAAAAATTAGGGTGTGGCATGCTAACAATCTCAAGGTCATTCCTTAAAAAGGAAGCAAAATCACTAAAATGTTTTATATTAAGCACTGACAGTAACCCAAGGCTGTCAAAGTAAACAGGGTATTCACAGGTTTTACAAAAAAAAAAAAAAAAGTAAGTTGATAGATCATACCTCGATGCATTGCTGTGGACTGAACCCTCCTCTCCTTGGCTTTTGTCCTTATTTCTCATCATCTTTTTATTCTTAAATATTAAGAGGGGGTCAGGGGTGTCTGTTTGCTTTGAAGTCCTGTGCCCAGGTATTTACTGTCAAAAGTTGAAAGAAAGGTAAGGTCCCAGTTCGTTTCACTGGCTTTCATGATCAGGAACAAAGTCCTGACGCTGCAATGATATTGTTATAACAATACACAACACTGATCAACACGGCAAAACAGAGATTTAAAACAAATAATCGTTTTTTAAAGAAAAATCGGAGAATAAACACGGTAGAGGAGCATCCTGCAAACTTTCCCAAAGTAACACTGGATGCAAATAATCTCTGTATCTTATTGCGTCATCCCAATATAGCTCAAATCGGTCGAAAATCAGAGTACTCAAAACAGCAAAAATCTAAAAATTATTAATATTAATTGCCCACCTACCTGATCCATGCACCGCCGCCAGGACCAAGTCGATATTAGTTTCGGGTAGTGGAAAAACATTAGATCCAAAATATTTAGACTCAGAATGATAAAATACGAATTTCAGATAATGGAAAAAAAATATATATTCTAAATCCCCAAAATATGCTGCCGATAAAGCAAAAGAAGCGATAATTAGTACAAAAATGTCCGGGGGAAAAAGCTCATTAGGAGAGCGCACAAAAATGGAGGTACGCCATGGCTTCTAAGCTGGAAAAACAACGACCTGGGCTCTCTCCACGGCTTCTTCTTTCCAGCAAGGCACGAAAAGGGAGCCCTCAAAAGCTGCTTTTCTGCCCGAAAAAGGTCCGCTCAGCCCCCGATTAGTGCCTAGGAGAGGCAAGGGGCTGTGGGGGCCCCCTGAGGCTGCCCGAAAGTTAGGGAAAGTTGCGTAAAGTGCTGGGGAAGGCACGGAGCTGAGCGCGCTCTCTCTAAGGCACAGCCGCCATCTAGAGCTCCTTCCCAGCTCTGAGCTCTGCCTTTGATTGACACTCTCTACATTTACCCCACAACTCAGGTGATGTACCATAGACCCACCCCTTCATTTCTACCAAAAAAAGAGATAGCCTCCACCTAAAGGGTGCCTGCTACCCCCCACAGCCCTGGCTTCTTCCAACTACCCCAGCTGAGGGGCACCTTAACCCCATGTGGCTCAGGCACCCTTTTGAAACCAGAAAGAAATGTAATTTGTTCTTTTTGTTTTAAAGATTTGCTAAATATTTAAGGGCTTGGGCTAAAATTACTTCCTCCCTGGACAGGAAGTGGTGCTGTTACAAGCCATTTTGAAAGAATGGAAGTGGAACTAATCGCCATGCAGTCAGTAACAACCCACCTTGGGGGTCAACCCCACCCAAGGGGTAACTTTTTTTTTTTTTTTTAATTAAGTGATAGCATCACCAGACAATAGCTCTTCCATTTGTCACCCAATAGGTGCACCTAAAGCTTGAAACAAGAGCACACACACTCTCTTAAGAAAACCTCCCATGTGGCAATAACCCTTTTCAACTCAACAGCGCCTCCCTAGTGGTTTTGCCTGAGAATAAAAATTCGAGAGCTGCACAATTTTAATCAGTTAGGTGAAAGCACTACCCAGGCACTACTGTAAAATAAATCTGAGGCCATTAAGGCTTATTTCTAATTCCCATTCTTAACCCATTAATGCTAGTTAACAGATTTTACATGGCTTTAAGGAGTAATTTATCATGTTAATATAGCCAAGATCCAGAATTAGAAACCACACAATTTCTCACATACAAGGTCCTAGCATTGAGAAGACATATCACGGAGAAAATGGAGGAGATCCAAGCATCCTCATATCTCTTACGTCCTGACTACCATTTGTTTTCCCACAAGCAACAAAATGCTTTAAGTACAAGGACTTCTTGCATATTGGTAAGCATCACAACAAGACAATGGAAGCAAATAGTGGAGGCTGGGGTCGGAAGGGGATAACAAGCTAGTTTGGACTTCTATAGGGACCCTCAATGGCACAGTGCCCCAACAACTTGAAAACATTGGCTTCTACCAGTAGAACCAAGATATTCCCTTTCAACTCCTACTCCGTGTGCTTGCCATCCATACCCTCCAACAACCTATCACCTTTCCAAATCAAGAGAAGTTTAAGTTGGTATGCTACGTTGCCATAGTCTATTTTAAAGAATTTCAGTTTACTGATTACTTACAGAAGACCCCTTGCACCTAAACTACAAAAATTGAAAACACAATGTAAGACAATTCCAAACAATTTTGTACAACACCAAGGAAATCCACTCATTTGAGCACGAAACCCTTCAGGCTGGTCCCAGTATCCAATTCCACCATATAACACATGGCAAAACCAAGCTCGAGTAGGCAAGTGTGTATAATCAAAACAGCTGGATTAAACAGTTACGAACAATTAATTATGGTAAAACTGAGTATTTACAAAAATGTCTGAGCAAGCCAAGTGATTAAATACATATAATGTTTGCTTTTTAAAAAAAAAAAAAAAAGAAAGAAAGAAACCTCTTTGAGACCTAGATTATCTCAGCACCAGGTTTGCCTTCTTGGCCTTCCAGCATAAGACAAAGAGGATAGACTATGAACACCAGGTGAAACTGGCATATGAAGGTGCCTACACTTTAACTATTTGATCCACAGAATTTGACCCACAAAAAACTTTAAACCAATTTTTGAACATTAAAACCATTTAAAAATTCATTCACATGTTATCTGTAGTAATATCAAAAGTGACTTCATTTTTCTTGTCAAATACATGGTACAGTATCATGCAGCTAAGTCTAACGGCTGTGAAGTATACTGGGCACTACTTGTGGAGAACAATTTTAGGATAGAGGCTGTTTAGGAAGTATGCTGTCCAGGAAATCTGTTGAAAGTTTACATACACATACAAAACCAAATGAATATACCTGAAAGTTAGAAAAAATGGTTAAGAACTCCTCTGTTGTATCAGGAATAATTTGGGGAAAATTTCCCCCAAAGACCTTGAACATGCATTTTTATTGTCATATTTGCCCGCCCTTCGCTTGATATCAATTCCATCTTAAAGCAACTTCAGAAAGTTTAGCAGAAGTACCCTGACAACAGACCAAGCTCTGATGAAGAAAAACAACAAAACCAAAAACTAACAACTGAAAGAACCAGCCAGAGAATAAAAATTCATTGGAAGTTGTAGCAAAGTGAAGATAATTTTGAAGTAAAAACCACAGCATTTTAAATCAAGTATTTCACAAAATTTACCTTGCCTTTAGAGCTTATCAGCTAAAATACTTCTCACTTTAATAGCATCTAAGAAGGTAACAATCTTCAATATCAAAACAATTTAAAAAGAAAGTATCAGCCAGAAAGGACAAACACGAAGTGTAAAAGAAACCAAAACCTTTTATTAAGTAACTTAAAAAAAAATTACATTTTCTCAAAAGGGGGTAGCAACATGTCTCATCAATTTAGTTTCCCTGTTATGCATACATCACCTTAAGAGTAAAGTGTTGCCACCCAACCCTCAAACCGATCCATTACTGCATAGTCACCGATACAGTCCCCTGATTAATTCAAGTGCAAAGTCCATTTTGATAGGATGATCAGAACCCAGATCTTCTCTGGTTTAGCAACACGGGAGTCCATGTTTTAACGTCCTTTCCTTGGACTGCTATATCACAGCACTCATGCATTAGTCCAGTTCCTCAACCTCTCAATCAACAGTGGAACTGCCATCTTGGTCTCTTATTCGTAGACTCCTTTTGACACTCTTCATCTGACTGGATTCTTTATGGAAAATTAAAAGAAAAATGCTGTTGGAATACAGATAATCTTATCCTTAAACTAAGACATTCAAACTAACGTACCTTGAAGATGTATTTTAAGCATATAACTGATGCTTCATTCAGTATTGCACATCCCAGAACACCTAGTTTTATCACAGACTAACAAGGTCACATCAGCAGTACAAGAGTCAAAAACAAACTTCAATCAAAACTATAAAGGAGGAGGGGAGGAATGATCGGAAGTTCAAGAACTCTTTCAGGCTCCATAAACTCAATTTTAAAATTCTTCATGTGAAAGAATACCAGAGAAATCAATAGTGGGAAATATGAGCTATTTGCTCTGGCAACCATCTTTATCGGACTGACCCATTTAAAACTAAAGCTGACACTTCACTTCTTGATGGAAAATCAAGTTTATTATAATTAAACCAAAAATTTTAACTACTGCCCATGCTCTTTGCTTCAACCACAGAAATCCATTAAAACCAAGGCAAAGGCGTAAAACTGGTTTCCTGTATGAAGATGGTGACTGGAGACAAGAAAATCCCACCATATCAACCGAGATTTCTACCTCATGAAAGACATAGTGTGACAGGAAATGAATATTTATAAACAAACTAATTTGGTTATTGGTGGGAAGAGGGATGTCAGATGAAAATGATAACAGGTCACACTAGTTGCCTTTAGCAAGGTCACCCTAATACTTATTCCAACTACACTCTTCACATAGTAGCAATCAGGCCCTCAAGTGATCAACAAACACAGAGGTGATCAAATTACTTCCATATGGGGAAATACAAATCAAATGTCCTCATCTTCACATTTTCTTCCAAGAATTAAAAATTCCAAAATTAAGCTCACGTATTTCTAAGAATACAAACGAAATACTATTCCTCCTAGTGTGCAAAAATCAAGTACAATAAGTTACTAAATGGTTAAAAAAAATCATTTTAAAGCCAATACTAACTGTAGGAGAAGGGACTGATATATAAAGGAAGGTTTAAAAATACTTCTTCATGATTTTGGGTATCTGCTCTCTAACTTTTGATTTATTCCTCTGAATATGTATAAGCTCCAACCTCATTTTAGTCTGACTGCCAACTCCACTGCTATTTTGTTCCCATGATAATCTGAGCATAATCTCACAGTAAGCGATACAGAAATTACCCACAGCACAGGAAAAAATGCGTGGAGCCATCTAGCGGTCTCTCTCTCTTCATTCAAGTTTACCCATTCTCATTTCAAATGAGCCAGTCCCATAAAGGAAAATACCAACGCAACTTGTACAAAAAGCCTCAGTCTGACTTTCATAACTGCCATATATGTCATGTTTTGTATTTCCAAAATACAGATTTCTTCCTTGTTTTAAACACACTGGAAAAGCAGTACAGCACGTAAGCAGAATGCAAGACCTGGTAGCCCACTTTGCTTTTACACTGCGCGACATGTGAACTATAGTAATCAACCATGGAATCTTCCCATATTCAAAAATTGAAACAGAAATTGAAGATTCAAGTCTGCAAGGATTTTTTGTTTCCATCATTCAACTCATCCTCAGGCAGGAATTAATTATTTTGAATTCCCCACATACACTAAACTGAAAAAATGATTTTGAGTTCTTACTGGATAAACCAGCCTAATTTTAAACGTAATACAGCATTTGAAGATAAATTAACATTTGAGTTTTTTTTTTTTTTTAATGCTAAGGTCTTGACTGAGGTACCAAAACCTGAGTAATAATGGACAACTTTGTGATGGTTTATTGTCATAATCAAACATTTAGAAGTACTGGCAAGGGTGCCACAGAAACCCCTAGCTAATACTTTTTAAGATAATTTTTATTCTAGCTATTTTAGGAAATAAGGAAATTTAATCATTGGCTTGAACCCTCCCCAGCTGCCAACAAAAAAATGTAATTTGGTTATATGTTAGTCCACCTTCAAAGGCCCATTTCTCTTGGGTTAGCATTCTGCCTTAGACACTAATGAGATCCGCTAAAAAAACAATTTAGGGCAAGTTTCTCTGCTAGGTTCACTTCTATTTGGTTGTAGTAAAAACTTTAAAATGAATGCGATAGGGTTATTTGTAAACTCTTCTCTCGACCTCGTAAAATAATTAGCAGTAAACAAAACTGATGATATATTATAACTGAGCACATGCTACAACAGCACTAGCTATAGAATTATTTCATACATTAAAAAGATGCCACAGTAACAGTGTCCAAGGATCAAGAGCAATTAGTAAACTTTCTCACGTGAAATCTATATTTGCATTAAAAGATTTCACAGAATTTGTTTACTTATCAATTGTGTTTTCAAGGCACATTTTAATCAAGAAATTTCAATATATGTTGGCAAAAACATATGCCTTCGCCTCTAAGACATACGCAATGATTCTACATCCAAGCAATGACACTGAACATCCTTTTTGCTATATGACGTGAACATTTAATTCCTTCTATAAAAATCAGCCAGCCATCACCCCATTCTTCAAGCTTCTATCATCTACTCTTCACTGCATTTGTTTCCAACATGCTATTTTGGCCACGATAAATAAGGGCTTCTGGGCAGTCAGTGTAATACTTGCAAGTTTCCTTCCAAATACTGTTAAAATGTGGACAATCCGTATCAACAAACAGAAGCCATTCACTACCATGACTAAAGGTTTAAGACAACAGTTTTGGAACATCCCAGTTTACAAAGTTTCTGCCTCAGGTTTCTGTATTACTTATTTCTTTCTCCAACTGTTAAGAGCGCACAGAAACAAAAGACATCTTGTGGCCAAAAAACATGGCCTCAGTAATCTTATGTCCATTGAAACCTCGTATTTCTGAAGCATGAGGCTGAAGGCCAGTCACAACGTTTTAAACAACTATGCATCAGTACAAACGTCTAAGAGACAACTCTGCAAAACATCGTAAATGTAGTGAAGTCTCTCAGGCTTTGAAGCTTAAACTTAGAAGGAAAATAAATAAGTAAATAAAAATCAGGATTAAATAGTGCTAGTAAAGGAAAACTACTTAAAAAAATTCCAACAGAGGGAGTTGACTGGACAGAATGATGTTCTAAAGTATATAACTTCAGGTTTTGTTTGCCCAAATGTTATTAAAACAAGATTTTTACTTTGAAAGAGAGATCTCTAATAACTTTAACTAGAGGAAAAAGCAGACATGTTCTTTATTGATGCCAAAAGTCCATAATGAGGTTTTGCCTAGCAGTTAAAAAAACTGGACAAGTATTCTGGGCAGTCATAAACCTACTTTCACTGATATTAGGTGCACAGCACAGCACAGAAGGCACAACAGCTCACGTAAGATCAAGTGCTCTTAGCTAAGCAAGGACATCCACCAGGCTTCATGGATTTAGAAATTAATTTCGGGTAAGGTATGACCAAAGATGCACTCTTATTCACAGATGCAGTGTTTTGGATGGAGTTTTTAAGACCATCCATAGAACAAAGTTTTAAAAAACACAAACAAGCAGGTTTGAATCCTAAAGATTTGGGCTCAAAACTAAGATCTCCCCATGTACGTTTCATCACATCCAGTAAATACACCAACTTCAAAAAAGTTCCTGATGATTTCAAGTACTCTCCCCTTTTCATCCCAAAAGTTCATTTAGAAAGCGCTACTTCAACTAAACGTGATCTATGTTGTTAACTACAGAAGTCGATACTGAAATCTTTCAAGACCCATACATTTGGATGTTCTTTTACAAATAAATTTTCGAGGCAGA